ACAAAAAATTCAAAATTTTTTCAAAAAGAAACCCGTTTTCCGATCATCGCAAAAATCAATACGAACCTTCCTTTAGTGATTCTCGACGTTTTAAAAAAAAATTAGCCCGATATCTCAAAATTTACGTAAGTTAGAGCAATCACAGACATTCGAATGCGTACATACACACGCACACGCACACGCACACGCACACGCACACGCACACGCACACGCACACGCACACGCACACGCACACGCACGCACACGACACGCACACGCACACGCACACGCACACGCACACACACACGCACACACACACACACACACACACAGACATTTTGTAAAACTAATATTTTTTGACGTTTAAAAACATTTTAAACATATTGCCAAAGAAAACTGGAAAAAAAATTTTTTCACGAAAACAAAGCTTCCTCTATGAGGAAGCAAAACACTTAAAATAACTTAATATGATAAAATAAAATTTCTAAAGCATTTGAAATTTATTTTAATAAGAGTTTATTAATCAGCTTGCCCAAAATATTATAAAAAAACGTTAATTCAAATATTTCAATTAGTCTTCAGTATTATTATTATTTCAAAAAGATTTTAGTAACTTTTTAGCAATATTTCAGAAAAGCTCCAAATTTCTTAGGGCCGATTGTTCTAAGTGTTAGGTAGCTCACCTGATGGTTAAAAAGTATAGTATACGTAACACATACTATAATATGCTTTTTAACTATCAGAAGTAAGCTACTTGACACTTGGAAAAACCGGCTATTAGTAATTTTTCAGAAACCTTTTTATAAAGTTTCAAGTGTAAGAATCGCGGACATTTTACTGTTTCATAGCTGTCTCAGAGCTATTGCAGAAACATTTTGCGATATTTCTGAAATATTTCTAAGAGATTTTTGTAACCTTACAGAAACCTTTCTATAAGCTTTCAAGTGTAAGAATCGCGGACATTTTACTGTTCCAGAGCTGTCTCAGAGCTATTGCAGAAACATTTTGCAATATTTATGAAACGTTTCAATCTATCACATGAAATATTTCTGAAATATTTCTGAAAGGTTTTTGTGCTGTGTATGGGGAATAGGCCGTGCAACAAAGTTCAGCCTTCCGGTATTATTTCTTTATGGTAGTAATTCAGGTAGCACATGGTGGTTCATGCACATTTTATATACAATATGTTTAGTGAATGATAACCCAAATAGCACAGGTAATCGAAGACGTTACAAACTGAAAAATAATCCACTTTTTCAAATTCTTTATAAATTAGTGTAATCTGTTCAAAATGAACTTTAAAAGAATTTCTCTTGTATCTGCGAAAGAGCAAAGAATTGGCATGAAAACGATTTTTTGTTCAACTTTAATTAAGAATAGTTTGACTACACGGAGAGAATTGTTTCTTAACATATTTATCCTGAAAATCGTGTAATCGTGGGACAAAGTGGCATTTTGAAGAATTTTATAATTTTATATATTTTTTGAAATTTTACCATACATTTTACTAGTAGAATGTATAATTTTAAATATTGTACTATATAAAAAAACAAACATAATACGATAAAGCGCGCCTGGGCTCGAAGTATCGAGAATTTGAGCACGAGAGGACGAGAGAAAGAAGCTTATCTATATCCTTCTCCAATGTCCGAAGATAGAAGATAGTCGAAGTTCCGACGCGCACGTATACGTACACGCTTCTTCTGGGGTCAGTGTGCAGTGGGAGCGGGAGACTCGGGGAGACGCGTTCCTCTGCGCATGCGCGATAGATCAGACTTGTATACGCGGTGTTGCATGATCGCAAGTCTTCGCGGGTTCCGTCGATGCAGGGTACTTATCGCGGAGACGATCGGAAAGTATTTCGATCGGAATTATTTCGTTTCTCCTAGAAAACACAATAGAAATCTAGGAAATAATTGGACAATTCCGAATATTTCACAGATCAGCAACGTTAATTTTTAACACACACACATATATATATATATATATGTTAACTTTAATAACTTTACGAGCAGGGCCGGCGTTAAGCGCGTGCAACCGGTGCGTCGCACGCGGCCCCGCGGTTTAATCGGTTTGAACAGTCCTGCTTTCCCGCGCTAATCATGTGGCCGAATTCGTTTTTTGTTTGCACCCGGCCCGCTTAGCTTAGAAGCGGCTCTAGGTACGTTAGCCTAATAATAATTTGAGGTTTCAATATTTACATTTCAACGAAAAATCATATCACACCTTGTCCTTCTAAAATAAATTTTGTAAATATTTCTTCAAGTTGTAGCGACTTCAACGACAAATATTCGACCGCCAGAAAGATGCATCGTACACACAGAGAAACAGTTTGTCTGAATAACTGTTATTGCTCGCGTGTCTTTTCTCCTCTTTTATTGTTAAATCGACTAACTCCGTGTATATGATGCGTCTCTCTGGCGGTCGAATATTTGTCGCTGAAATCGCTACAAAGTCACTTGTGACGAAGTGACTTGACAGTTATCTTATTAAACGCTGTGTGATAAAAACGTTTAAAATGACGGCAGCTCCGGAATGGATCTGGGTGTGGAAACATTACGAAAAAGAAAGTCTGAATACAATAAAGTGTACTCATTGTGCGAAAGAGTTTCATAACTGTATAAACGAAGAAAATCAATACTTAAAAAATCATTTATATGACCAACATGAAATAACAGAATTAGATGAACATCCAGAACGGTATCATGTACTGCAAAATTATGAAATAGCCAAACTAACAGCCACGTGCAACAATTGTGAAAAAAGATTAATCTGGCATCTAACAGCGTGCATGATTTAGTAACTCACTTAAAAGTTCAGCACACAAACGAATATAATTTAACATCTATAAATTTAAAAATCGTACTGAAAATGTACGACAAAATATCAGAGAATGAATTTAAGTGTAAAGGATGTAAAGTAATTTTCAGTATACATTCGTTATATGAAAACAATTTAACTCAACACTTATTTGAGTGTTGGTAAGCACATATCCCAAAAATATTTTAAATATCAATGAGTAGAAAATAGGTAAAAATGAAATTACATTTAAGGCCGGACTGTGTGAATATAAAGGTGTAGGTATAATATTTAGTTATAATGATAATATTCAATTATTGACAAAATAATTCTGTTTCTATTCCGTCATAGTCACTTCAAACTTAATCACCCGAAAAAAAAATAAGGTAAAAGACAAAAAGGTAAGAAGAGCATCGAGCATACATGACAAGTTTGAAGAAACGAGCAGTAAACTGACAAAAAAATTTAAAGCATGTGGAAAAATAATAAAAATAAACACATTAATTAACTATAGAAATTTAACACTTCACCATTATCGTTGTAGGTAAGTATGGATATAAGATACATTTCTATTAACTTCTATTAATTTTGTCGTATTTATTCTTTGATAACCCACTTTCTTAATCGTTCAAGTAAATCAGAGAAGACGGGAAGATTAATCGGAAAGCAGATATATGACAAGTACGATGACACACACGACAAAATGACAAAATGGTGCAAAGGATGTGAGAAACTAATAAAACTTAGTACTGTTATTACAACCGGTAATTTATACAGCCACATAAACAATTGCCTGTATACAGATAGCAAAATGTCTGCATTATGTCAGCATAACGCATTTACGTGTGCTCATAGACGTGTCGGCATATTTGCAACAATTGAGTCGGCATATGAAGTGCACGTGAACAGCATGGTTTGCCTGACACATTGTGACACAACTTGCCGTCACAAGATCGACAAGCCTTGCCGGAATTATGTATGATAGTAATGATCATATGAACATATAGAAATAGTTGAATAAAAGAGCTAACTGCTTTGTTGTCCACTCAGTCATTTGTTTCGTTTTGCGCCGATACTTTCTGCGCGTCCGTCATTATCTTGGTGTGGCCAATGAGACAAATGTTGTATATGTGTAGTGTGCATATATGTGGTAGTATGACGGTGTAAAAAGATTTTACACATCAAAGTAATGACGGAATACCACGTGATCGAAATCGAAAAAATCAAAGGTTCGACAGAGAGTGGGCATACTAGTTATATAGTATTATACTATGATACACCGTTCCGCTCTACGAATTTGCACTCTCAGTATAACATCTATGTTGTTGATATGTCGAGTTGATTATCCGTCACTAATACAAATAGTTGTGCCGACATCAATCTTGATAATTTTGATGCAATGTTCTTCGTCAAAACTTTAATTTTAGTAACAATTTAAAATAATATTATTAACAGAACAATGTTAATGTATACACGAACAAATTACATTAGTAAAATCATGGTTTTTAAATATAGAAATTTTTATATGCAACACGTGTTGCACTAAATACGACATTGGAACGGCAAATAAATTCGACAAGGCTTGCCACTTCTATGCTTCAGCACGTTTGGCTATCTGGGATATTTCGCCTGACACTAGACTCCAAATTACATTGCGCTATTTTAGCATCAGGGTGCTTTCACATGGAGCGTAAGTTGCGTAGCGTAACCTGCGTATCGCCAATCACAGGACTAGTTGAACGGAATTATTGAAACGGTTCTATCAGCATGATCCTGTGATTGGTGATACGCAGGTTACGCTACGCAATTTACGCACCATGTGAAAGCACCGATATTATTTTTGAGATTGTGTTGTGCGCAACTCTGAAAGCACATGAGAGGGATTTCATACTATCCCCTGAGGGTGCCGTCCCATGGAGCGGAATAGCGTAACGCGGAACGAGAGCGGAACCAATCACGAGCGTTCCGCAGTTTTCAGTAGGTTTTAGCGGAATAACTTTTCGCAGTGCGCGCAGTTAACATATACATACATCTGTATATATACACACACACACACACGGGACTAGAAAGTCTTCTTAGCAATAACGTAGTGCAATAAAACCGTTGTATGTGTTAAACAAGATAAGCAGTAAAATAAGCTACAAGAAAAATGAGCAGCGTTAAATCATCACAATTAGTAAGTATATAAGGTTAAGGCTGATTTATGGTGGTAGTAACCATTAACCTATATCGGATTAGATATTACTATAAAAGGCCCAGCAAACACAGCATTGCAACAACGTTGCGGCAATGTTATAACATTGCTGTAACGTTGCTTTAACGTTGCTACAATATTGTGCAATGTTCCATGTTTGCTGGGGGTCTAGTATCCAAAAAATAGGTAAAGGTCAAATATGATTGTGAGGTTTTTGTTATTTTTCATAATGAATTCTTCATTCCTTATGTAAAGCTGTATAGTCTAGATTAATGATTACGAGCTTCATAAATTACCTTAATGATTATTGTGAGTTTACTTTAAATAAAAGTTTTAAAATTGAAATGTTTGTTTCACCGTGTAAAGGAACATTGCAGAATTTATTTGAATCGCAATTGAATTATTTATATATGTATATATTGTATTTTACGTTTCTCATATACGTGAGATATATCAAGTGACTACCCAAGGAAAATGAAAAGTCAAGATGATGTCAATTTGATGTCATATTGACCAAATTTATGTCATATTTTGGTCAATATGACATCAAATTGACGTCATCTTGACTTTTCATTTTTCCTTGGGTAGACCTGCTTTTGTATATGAAATACCATAACGTCATAGTTAATTTTGTCCTCTATTTTAGGATGATTATCTCTATACATATACTAAATGTATTAATAATAATTGATCTGTACACAGAGCAAAAAATGTGGATACTGTGGATGGATTGTAACAAAGAATATGGACTTGTTACAACATTCGTGCTTCTCTGAATATGACAAAGCCACAAACATGATTTATAATTTATATCGATGAGAATAACATCATAACTATAGGTAAGTTTATCCTTATTTATCATTCACGAAGTATTACAATTGTAATTATTTACTAGAAAATTTGGAAAACTCCGTTATTTTGTCCTCTCTTCTGCATTACAGTCAAATTTATTTACAGTATTTATTGTACTGTAAATAAATACAGTATTACAGTATTTATTTATTATCTATTTACAGTAAATAAATCTAGATTTGATAATGTCTATATACTTTTCAGTAAATAAAGATACCGATACTCTTCCCGAACAGGATGTCAATCTTCCTGAATTACAAGATACAGAAATAACAACGGACGAACTTCTAATAGCATGTGTTGCTCAGAAGCCTGCTTTATATGATCACCGGTTACCGATTGCCGAGCGGACATTATTTAAAAAAAATGCTCTCTTTATTTATGCTTCTTTTTTATTGCATTCTCACGTTGTACCATTTTTTAATATATTATATATAATCTTAACACATTCTTTTTTACTTCTCTCTGATATAATGATTGTCTCCATTTCTTCCAATACTTGTAGATGCATAATAATGCAAGTTTAGAATCCATCACAATGATTTCCCTGTAGTCAATATATAAATTATACATAAAATACAATATTTTATATAATGTTGTTAATATATTCCTTAGAGAACATGCATGTCTAAAAGGTGTCTTAAAGATGTCGTTTAGACATGCATGTTCTCTGGGTCTACAAGTATAATATTTCACTATATATCTTATATTACCTGTAAATTATTATTAAGTTATCAATTTTCTTATCCCTTACCAGTGTAATTAAGTAACAACTAATAATTTATCTTGTCTTCACCTGCTGTTTCACGGTGTTTCACGAATTTAACACACACACAAAGTATATGTACGTATGTACATACATATTCCGTCAATTTTATTGCGCTGAACATGAACCCCTAAATCCCCATGGAGCGGAATGAGCATAAGCGGAACGAGCAGCTCATCCCTAAAATGGCCTTTAAATATTGTTTTTATCGCTCATTTTTCATTATCTTGTAAATAAATATTGAATTAAATGCATTTCTTCTTAGAAATACTGATTAAAATGTTAAAATTCTTGAAATAAGTTTCAAGGGCATCTTAACCTCTTTGAAATAAATATTGTTTTTATCGCTTTAAATATTGTTTTGAGGGTGCCGTCCCATGGAGCGGAATAGCGTAACGCGGAACGAGAGCAGAACCAATCACGAGCGTTCCGCAGTTTTTGTTACGCTGATTCCAAATCCCTCCATCCCCATGGAGCGTAACGAGCGTACCGCGGACTTTGCGCAGCCAATCACAAATCATTATTTCAAAGAGGTTAAGATGCCCTTGAAACTTATTTCAAGAATTTTAACATTTTAATCAGTATTTCTAAGAAGAAATGCATTTAATTCAATATTTATTTACAAGATAATGAAAAATGAGCGATAAAAACAATATTTAAAGGCCATTTTAGGGATGAGCTGCTCGTTCCGCTTATGCTCATTCCGCTCCATGGGGATTTAGGGGTTCATGTTCAGCGCAATAAAATTGACGGAATATGTATGTACATACGT